GCACATGCTACTCTGATCTCCCTTCCCCGGTCCCATTGCCAGCTCTTTTTCCTTCCCTGTGCTCCCTGCCCAATTTGATGTTTTGCTTTCTACTCCCTGCCCTGTCTGCCGCTGCGCTGCCTGTCCCTTCCCTGACCTGCTGTGTGTCACACACGGAGGCTGCCTGTGCCCTGGACTGGCCACCGGGATCTAGTTTGATCTTCTGTATAACAAGCTGGAGAATCTTATCCGATTACTCCTGGAATACAAAGTGGTTCAAGCCCGCATGAAAATGCACAACCATGGTGATAGGTTGTGTTCCTCTTCACATGGGTGCGCTGTCCACCTCTGCCACCTCTAAGTTGTGTGACTTTGGGCAAGGCATTTGCTTTCTCTGGGCTTGTGCTCCATTCCCCCCTGTATGAATTGTTTAACCTGTCCATTTTGGGGGGCAGGGAAGGCAGGTTGGCATCGTGGCCGCAGAACGCTGATTTCGGCTGGGCTTTCGAGCTGCTGCTGGAACACGCACATCCGCGAGCACTGTGACACTTGAGTGTGCATCGGCCTTGTATGAACACTCAAGTGCATTTCCCATCTTAAAATGACGAGTGCCCTCATTTCCCTGATCATCAAAGAATATAAAGCAAACCACACAAGCCTTTATGCATGTGCGCGCCTTGCATCAGCCTTTCATCAGTCACTTGCCCCTGCCACCTCTTCTCCTGGGCCTCGTCTCCCTTTTTTTCTTTTTTTTTTCAGTCATTTCCTTACCTCTGTTCCCTTTGGTCTCAATTTGACAAAAGCATAAGAGAAGCAGTAAGGGAGGGAGCAGTTTCCTCCAGCACATCAATCAGGATTCATTTTGGGAGCTGTCTCATCCCTCTTTGTTGCAGGTACCCGCCTGCTTTCCTGTACTTGGGAAGCTCCCCACATGGACGTGTCTGGCTCCCGAATCTATATTCAATGCTCATCACTCTCCCTTGCTTATTAATAGGCCATAAGAAAACTAGCTTGCACCATCTACAGTCCTTGCCTGGTAGCTGCTCAATTTAAATAAACTCAGAGAAACTGCAGAAACCAAGTTGATGCAAGAAAATATACGGCAGGGCCTTGGACAGCAAATGCTCAAACAGCTATCATCACGCTCTGGAATTAAGTAGCAATATTAGAGAGTTAAATGGTAGCTGTCGGGGAGAGAGGATTAAAAGTGCAGAGACCATTGGGAAGAGCTTTTAGCTGAGCTCCGAAATGAGTGAACCAGGGTTGCACTGGCTCTGCTCCCGCAGAGGCAGCTTTGGCCCCATATTGAGAATGGACTGAGAAAAAGCCTGGGCTAAGCTTTCTTTACACGGCACCAAGGTACGTGAACACTGCAGACGAGAAGGGGGCAATGAGGGGAGAGGAAACCCTGCGGGGTTGGCTGAAGCAGGTCAGTTGAGGCTGAATCTGCTCTGCTTGCTTGGTAGTGACAGTAGAGGCCTACCCTGTGCACGCCACCGCCACGCCTTAGGTCTCTAAACACGAGGCCGGTTCGTTCCCTTTGGACCGTCCATGTTTTGGTGCCTGGTGAACGGACCCATTCAGGAGATCCCATTTCACAAAGCATTAAAGCAGATGCCTTCGCTTAGGAAGGTAGTAAGAGGGGCCACAAGCCCGTCAGGAGGCTTATTGCCAGCCCACCCTACCCATATTTTTAGTGGGGAAGAAACTAGATGAATGAGTGGGGAAGGAGGGACCGCAACGTTCGAAGGGTCCAGGTTCAGTGGCACACGACAATCCTGCAAGGAAATGAAAAAAATAGGAAGCATGGACGTGTAAAATGAGGTCTCTTCTAGTCCATGGCAGTTTCTGTGAGCATCCCTGGAGAAGCTGGTCTGAAGCAGGAGCTGAAGGAGGCTGTCGGAGTGGTTATGGAAATTAATTGGAGGGAGGTGACGGATTTGACGTGTGTGGGAAGTAGGGGATGCGGGTTTAAACCTTCCTCTGCCTAAAAGGCGGGTCATACCATCAAGGTCTCGGACTCTGATCAAGTCATCTAAGTTTGGGGCTGAAAGACTGGTATGAATCACTGCTTGTGGGTTTTGGCTACCTGCACTGCCTCCGACTTGCATGTAGTTAGTTATGTGCTTACCTGGGCCCTCTTGTTCTGCCGTGGAGCCTGTTGGAGGCTTCTGGGTATGCTGAGAGGGGCATGAGCAGCTGTACAGATGGAGACAGGCCACACGATTACCTACATATAAGTGGGTTTTGGCCCAAAACATCTCTCCCCTAAGAACTTGGCGCACTGTGGCCTCCTGCCACAGTGCGCCAAGCTCCAGGCTGTGCCTTGAAGGCCGGGCCCTTCAGGAACACAAGTGTGTTTTATTACTGCGACCCCCACAAAACAGCTGCACTTTTGTGCAGTGTTGGGGACAAGCAAGAACAAGGCGCTCAGCAGAAATAGGCCTGTCTGCTCTGTGGGCTAGGTGTAGAAAACGTTTCTCTTACATCTTGATTCCACTGAAGAAATCCCTTTGAAAGGAGCAACGAGCATCAGAGCATGTTTTATTAAAATGTCATCTTTATTACTCCTTCGGAGAACATCGGTGTTACAGACTGATCACAGCTGTACTCCCCACATCTTCAACAAACACCTTTATCTCTCACTTAGAAAGCATGCTCTGAACCCCCTCCTCCGCCTTGCTTTGTGGGCTCAAGCGCTTTTACTTGTTTAGATTATGGGAAACCTGCTTGGGCATCTTATCTTACGCAGCTACTGTTGGAGGCATAGCAGGTATGTGCGCACCCTGGTCAGCAGTGCTGCCTGCTACCAAAGGAAGGACCAGGTTGTACCCTGCACAGCAGTGGGGACTCCAGGACTCCCCTCCCTGCATTCAGGATGTGCCTCCAGTGAGTCCAGACATCTGCACATGGCAAGCCTAGGAAGGTCATCTTCCTGTACCAAAGAGTTTGTCTAACAAGTCAGTGGCCCAAGGAGACTGACAGTCTCTCTGCTACCTGCCATCAAAGAGCGGCCTCCTGGGGAAGAATACCCTAGCTCACTCCAAGCTCTGACCCTACTTTCTCAATTTCCGTGCCTTCTCCCCTTCCCACCACGTGCCTAAATTAGATGTCAAGGAACTGAATGCTTGACATCAAACATACTGGTAACAGCCTTACAGGCAACACTGGTAGCGCAAAGCAAAGCAAATCAGATCACCCCAGTACAGTCATGACACCTCTATATACTTTTGTTATTCACTTGCTTTATGGACCATCTGAGCTCGCTGCCAAGGAGCTGAACTGCAATGTGTTAGTATCTGCGTAGCTAAGTGATGAACATGGCCGAGGGCCGATGTCCCAAGCTGAACTGCTAAGGTGTTTTTCAGTATCCCTGAAAAAGCTGGCCGTCCAGGCTTCGATCAGGTGGGTGAAAACACTGTTTTGTGCATCTCTGTTATCCTGCCCGCGTATTACTTTTCACTTGCAATCTGCACTGCAGAGAGGCCTTTTGAGTACCTACAACAGAACATATCACCAAAGGAACAGCCTGCTTACCCTTTAGAGGGGCACCGGGGGAAGGAAACAGGAGAGGACAAGTGACTTGCATGATTGCACCTGGATTCGCCTTTCACAGCAGCACTTTCCAAGCCCTTCCTCACCTACTGATCTGTGCTTGTTTCTCTTCTGCCTTATGCTGAGAGAGGCTGGGTGGGCTTACAGTAAGGTAAGCGAGACAAGAGCAAGGCCTTTACATGACTGTCTGCATGTGCAGTGGTCATCTCTGATGCACCTCGTACCCTAAATCCCACAAGTTTCCCAATTCTGTCAAGAACCAACACACAGCCATGGATGCAACAGCTTCAACCCCTGTGAGCGCCAAGGTTTTTGATACTCCATGAACAAGGACTCCAGAGCATGGCTCACAGAAGCAGCGTGAATATGCATGTCCCACAGATGGTGACAGGGTCAGTCTCATGGCAAGGCAGGTCACCCTGCTGCAGATGGCATTGAGTCTCTGGACAGTGGTGGCTTTTGTCTACTTCTAATTCCATGTTCACAAGGGGAGGAGGCAGCACCCTGGAACCAAAGTCCTGGATTTGAGGGGTTTTTGCCAAGCAAGGAAGACAGTATGGTCCCCAGCATTACATGGACTCTGCCTCTCTCCTTCCTTCTGCTGTTTCCAAATTCTGGCCATAAAGCATTTAGACAGCTTTTTGGCCTTTAGCAAATCGGTTTGAATGACGAGCAGCCTAGAAGTAACCTTGAAGTGTCACAGGATTCATTTTGCTAAATGCAAGACAAAACCTAAATGTTGCACAGCTAGAACTAAAGGATCTTTCCTTCATGGAGGAGGAAAAACTCTTTCCACCCTCCCCGCCCATCGCTTCAAAGTAACTGTTGTGCTAAGTAACCTGCCTGTTAGCAGACAACCATTTAATGTAAAGCACTTAAAAAATACAAACAGTTTCCACAGTCAGGGAGAAGGGGAAATCAGCTAACAATTAAACTGGTGCAGGAAAGAACTGTAGAAATGCAACAGCTCTTTGACAGCGTCTTCATTATTTTAACCACGCTTGTTTTTACACAAAGCCGTGAACTGCAGTTTATGAAATGTTTGCGTGATCGCACACATTGCTTATTTTTAGTCTTCAAAAGACAATCTGTTGGGTACTAAGGGGGGGGGGGGGGGGAAA